AGTCCAATCATATTAACAATTAATGTTGATGACAGTGATGATGATGACGATTATGATATTTTGGACGATAATGACTGATTTTCATTTTTGTTGGCAAGTTCAATTTTTTTATTTTTCATTTGAAATTCTCTACATGGAACAAATTTTTATGTTAGAAAATACTTTATTTGAGCTAAATAACCCTCTTGTTATACATAGACCATATTTTCTGTGTGAAGTGTAATATAAAATTATTATTAGGTTTAATTCTGCTCTCAATTATACAAAAGATTCTCCATTATTATTTAATTAAAAAGTTGTACATTATTTTTCATTTCATTTAACCAGTTGATATTTCCCCAAAGAACATGTCAAACTTTCGGGTACTTACCTAGAAATACTCAAAATTTTTAATACGAAACCTGCCGTACGTATAGCGAACAGACTGTAGTCACAAATTCATTAGTAACATGAATAGGATAAATATGTGCATTAAAAAATATTAAAAATCTATTCTAGTGTCTACCGTCAGTCTCATTTTTTCTGTTTGTATTTCTTGAGTTCATCGGAGTCTTTGATGCATCTGATTAAATTTTGATTGCATGAAACGATCATCTAGTTGAACTTATTTCATAAAAATAAATGATTTCATACGGCACATAATATCAGATAAGACGGTATACAAACATTAATTCTAAATGTGGAACAATAACGATCTTTGTACCACACAGATGTGAAATATATCTATAAACGTCAAATTCTAACTGTTGTTTTATCATCGCGTGGTCCTTCCAGGTGTACCGCTATTAACCGACGATGGCATTATGAGCTCGATATCCATATTGAATTATTGTCTTCACATTAGTCATCAGTCATTTCATCTCTTAGTAAGTCACCGAATATACCGAGTTATATACAAAAGGATTCGGATAGTTAATAATGAAGTCACATCTTGATTTTACATAAATATGTTGGAAGTACTATTTCTATGGTTGGAAGCTACTTTCAAGAACACATTATTTTACATAAAAAATTAACTAAATTTAACATATCTTTAATTGTAAAAAAATTGTTCACCTTATATAGGATCAAATGGAATTTTATGACTTTTTATTCTAACCAATTCAACATAGTAACTCCAAGTTTATAAAATCAAATCGAATGTTATGCAACCTAGTTTCGTTTTTTCCATAAAATCAACCTATTGGCAGATCGGATGGCGTTCTATTTTTTTTTTGTAAGAAAAATGATATAAGATTCCACGGTACGAGAGAAGTTCTAATGCTTCACATCGAATGAGTATGTAATTTCATTCAAACTGATAAATAATAAATAACAGTTTCCTTCAGACCGTAACTACTTATGATATAATGAAATAATCGAAGCAGAACTAGATAAGTTTACCTTTTATTAATATTATATACACTTAGGAATGAGATACAGAGTGATTGTGCAAAAAGTACATTTACATTTTCTTCGTATAAATAATTGTAAGCGTGAAAATGGCGAACACTTCGAACATTTTTTATGAGATCTTTGGTATTTGTATCCTCGTTTTAGTATGTTTGTTAAATCTACACTTTCGTCAAAGCCATGAGAGTACCAATCTAAATTTCACAAACTCTTTTTTTTTTCATTGGCGTAGAAATTTTAAATGTATAATTATTGCCTATGGATTAATATTAGTCATAATTTTGATACGTTTTTTATGTCACATAAAACTCTCTCAACGTAAGCAAAATCAAAAAACTTCAGGAACGTCGAGCTCTTTGATCTATGAACGAGCCGCTTCTGATTAATAAAATTCATGGAAAAACTGAAAGAAAAAGTAAAATTTTAGCGCTCCCTTTATTGTATGAAGCTATCAAGTCATAGCCCACACTTATATCTACCACTTTTTCCTTCTATGAAAAATTGCAATTAATAATAAAATATTTAATAATATGTATTGTATACAACAGTGGTCGCCAACCTGTCGATCGCGAGCTACCGGTAGCTCGCGGAGGCAATTCTGGTAGCTCTCGCAACGATTTTAATTTAAAAAATACAAACTGCAAAAATCAGAGAAGCTTCCGAAAATTCCACAAAAAAATCTAATTGTCATAATATTAAACATAAACAGCGGCAACGTTGCGGTGAGCGATCTGCCGCTGACGCGATCAAGCTAGAATCGGCTAGAACCGACCATCCGGACCAGCGCGTTAGTGTTCGAGATCGATCAGGATTGCTTTGAACGGGATAAATACGCACGGCGCGGCGACATTGCGCTTAGTTTAAAACTGAACGCGTAACCAACGTCCAGCGGTTGGGCTAGTAGAAAACAACAAAAAATAATATTATGGCAAGCAGTTGTAAGAAGGTAAAGACATACCACTTTCATTCGGAATGGGAAGAACAATACTTTTTTACAGAAGTTAAAGATAAAAATGTATGTTTGTTATGTAATACTTCGGTCTCCGTTGCTAAAAAAGGAAATATTGAGAGACATCATAAAACTGTACATTCTAATTTTGAAAAATCATTCCCACTACATTCTGCCGCCAGAAAGGAGAAACTGAAACAGTTAAAAAAGCAGTTAATTGGACAACAATCAATATTTTTAAGAACAGTCGACAAAAATAAGGCTGCAACTGTAGCATCGTACCTTGTGTCCCAGATAGTTGCACAAAAAAAGAAACCTTATGAAGACGGGGAAATAATAAAACAGGCGTTTTTAGAAGCTGCTGATTCGTTATTTGCCAACTTTAGAAATAAAGACGAGATAGTTTCAGCTATAAAATCTATGCAACTTTCTGCTAATACAGTGATGAGACGTGTAGAAGTAATGAGCAATGATATTTTTTTAAAGTTAAGAACTGACTTAGATAACTGTGTTTATTTTTCACTTCAACTGGATGAATCAACAGATGTCGTTGACACTGCCCAGATGGCCGTGTTCGTCAAGATGGTTTTTAGTGATTTTACGATTAAAGAAGATCTTTTGAAGTTTATTCCACTGAAAGGACACACTACTGGACAGGAGTTGTTTTCTCATTTAAAAAATATTATTTCTTCCGAGAAAATTCCAATATCGAAAATGGTAGGCTTGACAACCGATGGCGCTCCAGCTATGGTGGGTTGTGATAAGGGTCTGGTGGTGTTATGTCGTAAAGATGAAACTTTTCCGCAATTTCTCTGTTACCACTGCATTATCCATCAGCAAGGATTATGTGGAAATTTCCTGAAACTAAACAACGAAAACCTTGGCCGATGAAGTTGACTGTCAATACGGGGACCTACTCCTTCACTCTGAAGTCCGATGGTTAAGTAGAGGACGGGTGCTGAAACGTTTTAATGATGTCCTATCTGGCATAGTTCAATTTTTCAAACAACGCGATGAACCGACTCCGGAACTAGAAAATTCAATCTAGCTTAGAGATTTTGGTTTTCTCGTGGACATTAGAGAGAAATTAAACGAACTTAATTTGCAGCTTCAGGGAAGAGACAAAGAACTAGCGGAAATGATTTCTGATATAAAAGCATTTATCAAAAAGCTGGAGTTTTGGGAACAAAACGTAATTAACAGCGATGTCAAGCAGTTTCCTATTCTTTCAGAAAAAATATCTCAAAATCCATTAGAACCCTATGACAGCAAATATCATGTAGAAATAGTTTCTACCCTGAAGAATAACTTCAAAAATCATTTAAGGATTTCAACAAAATGGCTTTAGTAGCGCAGTTTGTTGTTTCACCCTTTATGGAAATTAATATCCAATAGTTTGCAACTTGTGTTATGCAGAACTTTGGCGAAGACATCGCTGCAACAGAAATGGAAGTAATTGAGTTTCAAAATGATTTAGCCTTAAAATCGTTAGTCTCAAGTACCAAATGTATCTGGCCTATTGTAAGTAAAGACAAATATTCAGTTCTATGCCGTGTTGCCTTGAAAGTGAAAGCATTATTCAGTTCAACCTATTTGTGTGAATCTTCTTTTTCCAAAATGAAGTTTATTAAGAACAAATATCGCAATCGACTTACATATGAACATTTGGATAATTGTATTCGAATGGCTGTATCAAATTATACTGCAAACATTAAAAAAATTATCGATGAGTCTGAGTGTCAGCCTTCTCATTGAATGTGCTTTTTTATTTTTCAATGTTTATGTTCATGATAGTGCGTTACTTTTTTGTATTAACAATTTTTAAATCTTACGTGTCATGCCGTTGTGGCTGGATAAAAGTTTGTGTTTATTTTTCAAACACCTTCGTTTGGTAGGTAGGAATGTAGCTATGAACAAGTACGTACTAGTAATATTAGTTATTTTGTTATTAGTTTATTATTAGTACCTATGTATTATGTATTACCAGTTAAATAGTAAAATAAATACATATAATGATAAATTAATTGTGGATTATTTCATTTACGTTGCGTTACGTGGCTTCCGTGTGGGTAGCTCGCTGTTTATTCCAAAATTAACAAAGTAGCTCAACACATTGAGAGGTTAGCGACCACTGGTATACAACATACCTTCAGTTGTCGTTCTTGCACTTATGATGGTCTGTTAATTTTTGAATAAGTCTTTTGTATTTTATTTTTGTATTTTATACAAATCGCTCTACTACCAGTTTTTCCTTTTTCTGATTTTTTCTATAAAATAATTCCAAATTGTGTCTTTCCTCCTTTCGCTCATTTTTATTTTACACTTTTCTCTTCACTTTAACTTTAATAGTTTTAACTTGGGCACAGACGCATTGATTTTTTATTAAAAATCAAGATTTTTTATTTTTTTGAATATATCTTGATTTTTTCTAACCCTGAATGTGCAGCACTAATCTGTAAGTACATTTTGTTTTTTAATTATGTCAACATTTAACGTTATTTAACTATTATAATGAGCTACTTTTATTATCTCTATTCCATGTTAGTTTTAGAAATAACTTTCGGTTACTTGGAAAACTAAACCTAATACAACAATTTGAACTTTTGATTGTTTATTAGCTAAAAAAACTTTGTGTGCCTACATATTTTTTTACTTCCAGGTATTCGATGGTGATTGGTTAGCAGTTTTTCGAAGAATTGTTGCACAAGGTAAGGTGTAAAGTAGTGTTTTTACATTCAGAGTTATAATTAAAACTTTATTACTAAACTGTTTAAATGCAAAAGAACAGTATAAAATAATTATTTCAGCAGACAGTTCGCAAGTTCTTGAAAATTATTTTATGACCGCAATAAACTCGAATTGAAAGTGATTTGCAGCGCTCGTATAATTGATTTTTTTAATAATTCGATCATCAGCGCTTTTAGCGTGCTATTGTCAACCAAATCATGATGACGCCGATGTTACCTTAGGAAAACGTTTTCTTCGCTCTTTAATGCCCATCATACATCATTCATTCCCACGATGCCTTTGGCACCATTGCGAATGGCTTTTATTGTTCAAATTAATTGAGCCAAGGTTGATCTTCGATTCAGTGGCAGCGCTAGAGAAATTTTATTAAAAGGATAGAAATTATATGTATTTATTATACTCTTTAGATCAGTGGTCGCCAACCTCTCAATGTGTTGAGCTACTTTGTTAATTTTGGAATAAACAGCGAGCTACCCACACGGAAGCCACGTAACGCAACGTAAATTAAATAATCCACAGTTAATTTATCATTATATGTATTTATTTTACTATTTAACTGGTAATACATAATACATAGGTATAAGGTTTGTTCCAACCCAACAGAAAACCGTACATTGTACGGTCATCGTCATGCGCAGTAAATAAAGTCCGTTCCATCCGAGCATTGACGATTCATTGTACCGACCGCTTAGCGTTCCAACCAAACATGGGACCGTTCGGGAATCGGTTTCTGTAGAACAGAAGTAAAAGTTGGAAATGCTTTTGCCAGTTCTCCCACTTTTGCTGCGTTTGAGAATCCCATCGGATGCATCTGAGATGTAAAAAATTTTTGATCACGTGATTCAGTATACGTAAATGTAATGGGACAGATGTGTCCGATGTGGATAAAAAAACGCTCGAGATGTAAAAAATGCATCCGATGTGGATTCTCAAACGCAGCATTTATACACATAAATTGACGGGTTGGCACCGGATCTCACCGAAGTGGACGCGATACATTGGCGTACAAAATTATTTTATAGATGTTAATAACAATTTCGAGTAAATAGTTTAATAAATTGTGAATAGCTGCTGAAATTTTGTAAAATTATAATTTGAATAATATAATACATGTTTAATAATTATTTATAATCCATAAATACATGCGATTGTCCGGTTCCGCCGATAACAATTTAGAATTACTTATTCTATGAAACGACACTGGCAGGTAAACATTACTGTGAAATTCTCGGAGCCGCCCGACGTGGTTTGACGTTTACCCCCTCTCTACCTACCAAAAGACTTTTCAACTTTTACTTTCTCTATACGGTCCTTTCGATACCAAACTAAAAGTTGGTATCGCTTGGATTGACATGCGTACTGCGTACACTGTAACGAGCAAGGCCCGTCTATTTTGTTTGGATTTGACGTTTAATGCTTGGTGGTGTTTTTAAATTAAATTGTTTTTCAGTTTTTCTGCTTAATTATGTTTGTTCTTGTATAGTACCTAATTTAATTATGTGTCATGAAGAAGGTGATGATTTTCTCTCAGACTTATCGTCTAGTGAAGACGATTTAGAACTTGCTGTAAAAGAACATAGAGTTAAAAATGATAACTATTCAGGTAATTCCTACTTCCCGCCAACTGAAATTGTCAAACAGCATCGTTTGATACTGAAAGTGGTACATAAATTCATTCCATCCCGGTAAAGTGTGATCCCATACACAAGACAGTACGAGGTTAGCGTTTGCGCATAACAAGCTAGTTGAACGATCCCGTGTACCGTTTCGAAACAGTACAAAACTCTTGGTTGGAACAAACCTACTAATAACAAAATAACTAATATTACTAGTACGTACTTGTTCATAGCTACATTCCTACCTACCAAACGAAGGTGTTTGAAAAATAAACTCAAACTTTTATCCAGCCACAACGGCATGTCACGTAAGATTTAAAAATAGTTAATAATAATAACAAAAAAGTAACGCTAAACATTGAAAAATAAAAAAGCACGTTCAATGAGAAGGCTGACACTCAGACTCATCGATAATTTTTTTAATGTTTTCAGTATAATTTGATACAGTCATTCGAATACAATTATCCAAATGTTCATCTGTAAGTCGATTGCGATATTTGTTCTTAATAAACTTCATATTGGAAAAAGAAGATTCACACAAATAGGTTGAACTGAAAAATACTTTCACTTTCAAGGCAACACGGCATAGAACTGAATATTTGTCTTTACTTACAATAGGCCAGATACATTTGGTACTTGAGACTAACGATTTTAAGGCTAAATCATTTTGAAACTCAATTACTTCCATTTCTGTTGCAGCGATGTCTTCGCCAAAGTTCTGCATAACACAAGTTGCAAACTGTTGGATATCAATTTCCATAAAGGGTGAAACAACAAACTGCGCTACTAAAGCCATTTCGTTGAAATCCTTAAAACGATTTTTGAAGTTGTTCTTCAGGGTAGAAACTATTTCTACATGATATTTGCTGTCATAGGGTTCTAATGGATTTTGAGATATTTTTTCTGAAAGAATAGGAAAATGCTTGGTATCGCTGTTAATTAGGTTTTGTTCCCAAAACTCCAGCTTTTTGATAAATGCTTTTATATCAGAAATCATTTCCGCTAGTTCTTTGTCTCTCCCCTGAAGCTGCAAATTAAGTTCGTTTAATTTTTCTGTAATGTCCACGAGAAAGCCAAAATCTCTAAGCCAGATTGAATTTTCTAGTTCCGGAGTCGGTTCATCGCGTTGTTTGAAAAATTGAACTATGCCAGATAGGACATCATTAAAACGTTTCAGCACCCGTCCTCTACTTAACCATCGGACTTCAGAGTGAAGGAGTAGGTCCCCGTATTGACAGTCAACTTCATCGGCCAAGGTTTCGAATAATCTTCGTTGTAACGCTTGAGCTCTAATCTTGTTCACAATTTTTACCTCCAGTTTCATAACGTTGTTGAGTTTCAGGAAATTCCCACATAATGCTTGCTGATGGATAATGCAGTGGTAACAGAGAAATTGCGGAAAAGTTTCATCTTTACGACATAACGCCACCAGACCCTTATCACAACCCACCATAGCTGGAGCGCCATCGGTTGTCAAGCCTACCATTTTCGATATTGGAATTTGCTCGGAAGAAATAATATTTTTTAAATGAGAAAACAACTCCTGACCAGTAGTGTGTCCTTTCAGTGGAATAAACTTCAAAAGATCTTCTTTAATCGTAAAATCACTAAAAACCATCCTGACGAACACGTCCATCTGGGCAGTGTCAACGACATCTGTTGATTCATCCAGTTGAAGTGAAAAATAAACACAGTTATCTAAGTCAGTTCTTAACTGAAAAAAAATATCATTGCTCATTACTTCTACACGTCTCATCACTGTATTAGCAGAAAGTTGCATAGATTTTATAGCTGAAACTATCGTCTTTATTTCTAAAGTTGACAAATAACGAATCAGCAGCTTCTAAAAACGCCTGTTTTATCATTTCCTCGTCTTCATAAGGTTTATTTTTTTGTGCAATTATCTGGGATGCTTGAGTTGCAGCCTTATTTTTGTCGACTGTTCTTAAAAATATTGATTGTTGTCCAATTTACTGCTTTTTTTAACTGTTTCAGTTTCTCCTTTCTGGCGGCAGAATGTAGTGGGAATGATTTTTCAAAATTAGAATGTACAGTTTTATGATGTCTCTCAATATTTCCTTTTTTAGAAACGGAGACCGAAGTATTACATAACAAACACACATTTTTATCTTTAACTTCTGTAAAAAAGTATTGTTTTTCCCATTCCGAATGAAAGTGGTATGTCTTTACCTTCTTACAACTGCTTGCCATAATATTATTTTTTGTTGTTCTTTACTAACCCAACCGCTGGACGTTGGTTACACGTTCAGTTTTAAACTAAGCGCAATGTCGCCGCGATGTGCGTATTTATCCCGTTCAAAGCAATCCTGATCGTTTTCGAACACTAACGCGCTGGTCCGGCTGGTCGGTTCTAGCTGATTCTAGCTTAATGGCGGCAGATCGCTCACCGCAACGTTGCCGCTGTTTATGTTTAATATTATGACAATTAGATTTTTTTGTGGAATTTTCGGAAGCTTCTCTGATTTTTGCAATTTGTATTTTATAAATTAAAATCGTTGTGAGAGCTACCAGAATTGCCTCCGCGAGCTACCGGTAGCTCGCGATCGACAGGTTGGTGACCACTGCTTTAGATCCTCTTGATTATGAAAAAATCTGATTGAAACAGGGGGTTAAGGAGGTCTGTTAAACTATAAGTATAATATAGAATGACAAATCAAATCCAAAAGTATTTTCACATTGGCTATACTTCAACTCATTCACAAAAACAAGTCACTATTTGTAAAAAAAACTACACTGAAAGTCACTATCTTATAAATTAATCACTGTTTTAATCAAATATGTTATTATTAAAAACTACGAGTATATTTATTACCTAATTAATGTAATTCCGATTCCACCCTGATAAATATAGAAATAATTTTAAAATTTTGTTAGAGCAGGTTTGGTGCGATATTCCATTAAATTGATTGACTGCATCTTCAATGGGCAGAATATAAGAAAATAATGATCAACTAAAAGTAAAAATAATGAAAAACAAATAGATAACAAAAAAATGTAAACCAATGCTGTACTGATTTTTTTTAAAAAGATCTAATCATCTGCAAACAAAAAAACCTCAGTGAGTGTGCTTCTTTCATTGTTGCAGAAGAGTGGTCTTTTAGTGATCGTTTCTTTGTTTGCACCAAGTCATGCAAGAACGGAAAAACCGTACGGTGCCCGATGGTAGGTTGACCTATGCGATGTAATATTTCTTATTGCAAAACTTTGCATTTTTGTCTTTAGGTGAAAATTTAAAATTCTTTTTGTTTCAATTCAGGAATGCTCCGTTACTGCTAGAGCATGTAAATAATGTCTGATATAATAATATACAATTATTTTACTAT